CAGATGTCTCAAAACACTAAGATGCGGGATGCTGGCTGTATTTAATTGCCTGCCCTGCTCAGGACTGCAATTATTCTGACTAAATTGTATAGTTTTCTTTTAAAACCCTCTCATGTTCTTTATCACAAGACATCTAATTGGCAACAGCAAAATAATTCACTAAAGGGCACAAACTTTCCACCTTTAAAATTCAAAATTTAAAGCAAAAATACACTTACTAGTCTTATACTTCAGCTCAGCATATAGTGCAAGACAGTCACATAACCCAGAAAGGATACTAAATCCCTTGCTATTTGTGTTCCTCATAAAAGAAATGATATCAATCACTGACTGTTTATGCAACCTTTCAGTGCATCAGACAATGCCCAACCAACTGAGCCTCACTGGCCAGGGCAGTCCTCCCATGCTTGAGCCCACTCTTTCTAAGAGATTGGAAATAAGCTCTTCACTCCCTCCCCCCATTTCCAGTTCAATGGCTATAAGGTAACTGACGTTAGCCTTGGGAATAATGCCTAATGTCTGACTGAATTCCAAAGTAGTTTCATCATCCACTCTTATATGTTACCTTGTGCAAATTATTTAACTTGTTTTCTTCTGTAAAGTAAGGACTATAATATCACTTAATGGGATATTTTGAAATTTATAGTATTTTGGAACAGGACCTTATTCATGGGAAATCTTAGTACACATTAAGTTTGTTAAGTTATAATGGGCACCCTGGCTGGTGCCACTAAGTGGTTAGAGCATAGCCTGCACACTGAAGGGTCGTGGGTTCGATTCGTGGTCAAGGGTACGTACCTGGGTTTCTGGTTTGATTCCTGGCCCCAGGATGCATTTGGGAGGCAATCACTAGAAGTCTCTCTTTCAAATCGATGATTCTCTACCCTCTCCCTTTTCCACGCTCCTTGAAAAATCAATGAAAAAATAACCACAGGTGAGGATAAAACATTAACAACAACAAAAATTATAATGGGCAATAGACAAAGCTCATCTTTCATGATATCACGAAATATTTCTAAAAGTTAAGTTTTTTAGAAGAAGGAGTTGGTAAAAATAAAGTAAGCATTTAATAGTCATATTGTACGATAATTCCTTCAAGTCTTCAGGACATACTGAAGGGATGAAGGCTTAAGAGACATCATCTCTTGCAAGGCTGCTCATTGGTTGTACTCTAGTAGCTCACAATTCGTATTTATCTCACTGAGGCATTTCCCAGGGTTTAGAATAAGTGGAAAATTTGGCTTATGTATCTTCCTAAAGTTTCTCTTAAAAACAAACCAGATCTGGCCCTGGCCAGAGTGGCTCAGTTGGTTGGGCATTGCCCCGTGCACCTAAAGGTTGCTGGGTCGATTCCCAGTCAAGGTACATGCCTGGGTTGTGAGTTTGATCCCTAATTGGGGTGTATGCCAGAAGCAGCCAATCAATGCTTCTCTCTCTCTCTCTCTCTTTTTTTTCTCTATCTCCCTCCCTCTCTCTTATTCTCAAAATCAATTAACATCCAGCTCTGTGTAGAAAGCTGGCCATGTACTATCTTTCATTCATTCCATAAATACTTATTAAATACCTATTATGTATGTGTATATCACCCTGCCATGGTCACATACAACAGCAAAGACCATGAGTAGCCCATAGATAAATCCTCACTTTTTTTAAAATTGATTTTTAGAGAGAGAGGAAGGGATAGAGAAAGAGACATCAATCAATTACCTCCTGCAGGCCCCCTACTGGGGTGGGCATATGCCCTGACTGGAAATGGACTGAGCCCACAGCAGCAAACTGAGTATGTGCCAAACTGAGTATGTGTCAAACTGAGTATGACCAGCAACCTTTTAGTGCCTGGGACAATGCCCAACCAATTGAGCCACACTGGCCCAGGCAATCCTCACATTCTTGAGCCCACTCTCCTCAAGAGACATCACAGACATTGCCAAAGTACAGGCCAGAGGGTGGCCAATGCCATAACCAATTTACTGAGCAGATTCTATACTGTTTCCAAAAGGTTTTCCATTTGTAGTAGTTTTCTATTTTTATTTAAATTCTGAAAGACTCCACATACATGACTTCTTAAATTTAAGAACTTTTATTTCTAAGATATTTTAAAACATATCCCTAATTTGAAAACTGACAGTATTGAAATAACAGCAAAAGAAAAGTACAATAATAGATCCTTCCTGTTCCGTTTGCTCCAACTTTATCAATATCATACATTTCTGAAACGACAGTGAATAAGAAACTCTGAAACTTGTCTGTGACTCTTTTATATACCTTGAGGTGGAACATTGTTGAAGATTTGGATTTTATTACTTTTTTTGTGGGTTTGTTCCCTTATTTTCTCAAGAATGGTCCAATTCTCAGATATCTTAGGGTGTGCTCCAATCTGTTGTTGATATTTCCCTCTAAGTTCTCCCTTCTTGGCAAAGGCAGAGGATCATCAGCTATCTCTGTTCTTCCTGGGACTCAAGCACAGTGGGGCTTTTGGCTTAGAAATTGTCCTATCCTGAACCCCTGGGGTCCTGGGGCCCACACACTTGGCAACCAGCCAGGGATGCCTTCATGATCTGGGCTGACCGTGGACTGGCTTGCAGGGCCCCGTAAGTAGTCCTCGGTAGTTTAAATCAGGCCAGCTCAAAGGCCTTGCGCTAGGCTGGTGTGCTTGTTCTGGGATAGCTGAAAGTCTTAAAACCCACTCTGAGAGAGCCCTTCCTCCTGGGGCCTTCCTTTAACGGAATGAATGAAAACGGACTAGGAAAGTGACCCCTGGAGTAACTTCCTCTTATGAGCAAGTAGAGCCTGCTTATACTGGTTGGTTACATTGTTTGCCCCCACTCTACCTGCCCAACCCTTTGACTCTCTCTCTCTCTCTTTTAAAAAAAATATTTTATTGATTTTAGAGAGAGGAAGGGAGAGTGATAGAGAGATAGAAACATCGAATTGGCTGCCTTCTGCACAACCCTCATTGGGGACTGAGCCCACAGCAGCAAACTGAGTATGTGCCAAACTGAGTATGTGCCAAACTGAGTATGTGCCAAACTGAATATGTGTCAAACTGAGTATGCCCAGCAACTAGACCATGTGCCCTGTCAGGGAATCGAACCGTGACCTCCTGGTTCATCGGCCAATGCTCACCCGCTGAGCCATGCCAGCCAGGCCCTTGGGCCCTCTTTCTGCCCTCCCTCGCCAATCTCTGTCCTTCCAGTTGGGTTTCGCCTGTGGGAGGCACTTCCAGGAGAATGGAGGGTGGGAGCGGAGAGAGGCTGGAGTATTTCTTCCCACTGCTTCTCTTCTATGTGAGATGGCTCTGGTATTGGCAGCCTCCTCATCAGCTGCAGCTCCCATTTTGTGTCCCTTCTCCAGGACTCTAGTGCCCTTCCTTCCTCCTACTAATTTAAGGCATGATTATCTCTTCCCACTGTAGCTAAGCTCTGGCTGATTCCCTAAACTCTGTCCACATCCCTGTAAATGGTCCCTTCACAGAAAGCTTTTTAAGTTGAAATCTTTGCATGTGCCATCTATTTTTCTCCTGGGGAGGATCTTGGTCACTCCAGTCATACCAACTTATACTACTCCACCTGGAAAATCTGAAAACCTTTCCAATTAAAAGCAGCCGCCTCCTAGAAGGTGTTTGCATCCATCTTTAATACTCACAGCCAATACAAAATCCAGAGCATGAGTCATAATTTGCTAGGCTGCGGGCTCTTTCATGGCAGGGACATTGTTCTGAGCATTAAGGGATCTTACACCCCCCCCCCCCCCAAACACACAGTAGGTGCTCAATAAATGTTCCCTTCAGCACCCTTGGACTCCAAGGGCCTCGGCCTCAGATCCCTTCTTCCTCTTCTCTTCCTCCACACCACCTGCTGAGCTGCTGGCACCTGTAGGATCTGAATCACCATGCCAGCCAGCTGGATTTATTTCTTATTGTTCCTGACAGAGGAAGCTCATTCACGTGATTTTTTTTTTTTTTTTTTTTTTTTTTTTTTGTGGTATCCAGAAAGGGTGGGTGCACTATGTCCTGTGATGAAAAGCTTGTGGAGGAATGCAGGCTTCAGTTTCACCCCCACAGTGTTGCTATTCTAATCTATGAGAATTGTCTCCCCCCCTACCCCCACGCAGACACCGCCTCCCCACCCCTCACAAAAGCCTTGAGACATTTAATAGGAGATTTTAGTGTATGCAATGAGACAGGAGGAGATGAACATGAGTAGCCCCTGAGTGTGTTATACCCGAGCCTTTCCCAAACGCAGAGGAATTATTCAGCCTAGGCAGCCAAGAGGTATGTTATTTTGTTCAGAAACGTTTACATCTGGGGAGGCCTGATTTTTTAATATTCTTGCTGGGAAGTACTTTGAACCATGAAGACACACCGAAAAGGCAATTGCGTCGGAGACTGTGCCTCTGTGATGCATTTCTCCGAGTTTTCTCCTTGGGGCGCTTCAGCATCCACAGGGTGTCCCAGGAACGATGCTGTGGGTGGGAACCCAGGCACAGCAGTGCCAGGGGGCACTTGGGACTCCCGGGAGCCCTCCCCAAGGATCAGAAGCTGGCCATGGCTGCCCAAAGCAGGGAGTGTGTGTCAGAGGTGGGTAGAGGGGAGATTCTCGGGGTGTGCAGGCCCCCAGCTCGCTCGCCGGTGCGGGGACCACGTGCAGAAGCAGCGCGTGGGGGGGCTCTGGCGCGCAGCCGTGGTGGGTGCCTGCACCCGGGCCCGGGAGCACCCCCGCTTGTGTCCGTGTGCGCTTCTAGGGGGGCGGGGGTCCGGCGCCGTCTTGCTCCTTCCTCCCCCTTCCCCGCCCCCGGAGTGTGTGTGTGTGTGTGTGTGTGTGTGTGTGTGTGTGTGGAGTGTGAGTGTGTCCTCAGCCCCGCGCCTGCCCAGCGGTGCCTGCGCCCAGGAGGACGCGCGCGCACCCGTGCGGGGCGTGTGTGCATGTGTGTGAGAGAGAGAGAGAGAGTGTGTGTGTGTGTATGTGTGTGTGTGAGACAGTGTGTGTCAGGTGACTCGGGTCACGCAGTCTCTCTCCCTCCTCGGGGAGGAACTGCCGCGCTCCGGCTGAGTCCTCCGCCGGCCGGCGGGAGGGGCTGCGAGGGGGCTCGGCGCGCAGAGCCGGACCCGGACCCGGACCCGAGGCCGCCCGCCCGCAGGGGGGACTGAGCCCCCGCCCCCGCCCCCGCCGGCTCCCGCCACGCTCGCTCCAGACAAAACCCCCATTCAGATCGGCTGCGATCGGCCCGGAGGAGGCTGAGCCCCCGGCCCGGAGCTCGCCGCCCACGGCCCCGCACGGTGGGCCCGATGAGCCAGGTGCTGGGGAAGCCGCAGCTGGAAGACGGGGACGACGACGAGGAGGATGAGCTGGTGGGGCTGGCGGACTACGGGGACGGGCCCGACTCCTCGGATGCCGACCCGGACAGCGGGGCGGAGGAGGGAGGTGAGCGCGGGGTCCCCGGAGCCCGCACCCCGTCCCGCCGCTGTCCGCCCGCCCCCGCCGGGCCGAGCGCGCGGGCCGCGGGCTGGGAGGGGATCCAGCCGAGCGGAGTGGCCGGGTGGGGGTGGGGAGGGCGCCCGAGCGACTGCCAGCTGCAAAATGGGGGAGCCCGGGTGCAGGCGGCGATGGGGGCACCGGGATCCGCGGGGAGAGCAGAGAGAGGGAGAGGCTGGGTTGGGGACGCGCGCTCGCCCGCCCGCTGCAGGGCGGGTGCCTCCCCCTCCTCTGCTCCGAGCTCTGAGCGGGATCTGGGGGTGGGGAGGGGAGGGGACCGCGGGCTCGCCCTGGGACCTCTCCCTGAATGCTGCTGCTGTCGGAGCTGAGGTCAGATGTCGCGGCTAAAAAAGGCAGCCGCCGGCGGCAACGTGACTGGCAGGGTCGTCGGCAGCTGCGGGTGTCAGTCTCTCTTGCCCCGTGTCGTCGCGGGAGGGGTCCCGGGGCCGCCCGGGTCTGCGGCTCAGGGGCACCCGGGGAGATGCACCCAGGTGATGTGCGAGTGGCCGAGGGTTTCCCGGGACCCAGGCAAACACGGTTGTTAGGACACCTTATCTGCTGCGCTCAGTGTCACCATCTGGGCATGACTGCCTGTGCTGGAGAGAGCGCGTGGTGGGGAGATACACGCCACTCAGAGGTAAACTGTTTACTGTTGATGAAGCGGATTTAGCAATTATTCAGCGTGTGTGTGCGTGCGTGTGTGTGTGCGCGCGTGTGTGTGTTGGGGGGGCGGGGGTGTCCTGTATTTAATTCTTAAGGCCTAAGGAAGCTGAGAGTTTTTTAGGTTTCCAGAAAGGTTCACCTCCCCCCCCCCCTTTTTTTTTCCTCCAAAGCAAGGGAAAAGTTCTTTATTGTAAGGTCACTTGAAAAGGTCAATAGAAGGAGGCTGGTAAACACAACATCAAGGTGAAGCTGTGTGCATCCAAAGAAGGAACTAATTTTAAACGTTTGCACTTTGAAGAGGTCGTGGGTGGTGAAAGTACCCCTGAGACTGTTGATTTTGAAGAACTTTTACTGACATTCATTGAACTTATTTTAAATTCCCGGTCCGAAGCCTTGGCCTGGAGAACAGTTTCATTGTTTTGTTTGTGGTAAGTGCTGCTGCAGTCAGTGAATCAGAAAGGGAAGAAAGCGAACTAAACCTTGAGCCTGATAGAGGAGAGAAGCGTTCCAAGCCACGCTTGTTCATCGCGGTCCGTCTCCTGGGAGGATTGGTGCTAACTCCCCATTTGCCTTAACTGGCGTGGGCACCTGTGCGCCTCTCTCTTCTGCTCTCTCCCTAAGTGGTCCCACAGCTGAGCACGTGGTTACACTTTTGTAGAGGAAGGCGTTCCACCCTTTTGTTGGAGTCCCTGGGGCTACCTTGGGTAATTAAATTGTTCTGTCACTTCATTGTTATTCAAACGGCATGTGTTGGCTCCTCCTAGTTTCTTGGGAGACCGGAGGGATTCGGAATGTGGCTGTGTTTGCAAGGTATTTGAAATGGGGGACACGCAATAGGGTGTATTTGTGAGACTCTAAAAAAAAATAAAAATGAGAAAGAGTCTGTATGGGGGAGAACTGCCCTGTAAATGTGATATTGTCCTGGGGCCAGAGGACCTGTCCATTCTGCAGTCCTTGAAGGCAACATTTTATTTTTATTTTTTTGTATTAGTTTTAGGTGATCTGATATTTAAGAAAAACTTTTATTATTATTATTTAAAATATATTTTATTGATTTTTCACAGAGAGGAAGAGAGAGGGATAGATAGACACATCGATGAGAGAGAATCATCGATCAGCTGCCTCTTGCACACCCCCCACTGGGGATGCGCCCGCAACCAAGGTACATGCCCTTGACCGGAATCGAACCCGGGACCTTTCAGTCCAAAGGCCGACGCTCTATCCACTGAGCCAAACCAGTCCCAGCTGAAGGTAGCATTTTAAAAACCGACTCGGGGACTTAAAATGGAAGTGAAAGGAAAGCTTTGCCTCAGGGGTGGGCTTCCCCAGGGCCTGGACTCCCCACTGCACCTAATCTGAAGGCAGACCCTCCCAGAAGTGATCCTTTTGATGAACTCACTGAGAAAATCCTCTCTTGTGAGTTCCTTGCCCCACCTGGAATGTTGCTATAAAATAAAAGCGTTGAGTATATGTATGTGATAGGAGGACCCCAAAATGAAAATTTGCTCCCTCAGACATGACTGAAGCCAGGCCTTTCTCCACGTGGGCCTGCTGTGGAAAGGGCGTCTGCTCTCAGAAGACTCCCTCTGTTATGTCAGGCTCCTGTTCTTTTCATGTGCTCCTGGTTTTGATTGGGAGCTGTAGGCCTGAATCTCTGTCAGAACATCGGCTGTCTAGAGCAGCAGATAGGCTCTTTGGTCAGCAATTCTAGGAAAGACTGTCCCTGACAACAGTCGTGCCCGCTGATACGGTCCCTGGGAGTTGGGGTGAGGGAAGAGGTCAGGAGTTGTGACTTCCATTCCTGGGATCTTAAGGTGCCACCAGAGGGTCATCTCGATTTCTAAGGTGCCCTGGACACATGTTGCATGGTAACCCTGTGTTGTACACTTACCTGCTTTCAAACTTAGAAAAGGGGTGGGTGGAGAGGGACTCACTCTGAGAACATTTGGATGTGGTGCAGTTTGAACAATGAGCAAAGCATGTCTCTAGTGAATGCCCCTCCCCCTTCACTTTCTCAGAGCTGAGCTCAGAGGAAACCTGGGGCTTTTTCCATGATTTCAGAAGTCTACCCTGGTGGGTGAGATGCTGGTCCAGGTAGCTTCGCTGTGCAAAAGAAAGGGGGTTGAAGGTGGGTAGCGTGATTTTCATTTCCCATAGTCTTCCAAAGAACCTCTCATTGTATTTTTGAACCGAGTGCCTTGTCGTGTTACCCACATTGTGCTAAGTTTGAAAATGTAGTGCAGCTAAGGTGAGACTTAAATTGCACTTCCCTGGCTTGCACTCCAGACTTTATTCATGAATACCGGGAGTGTTCTCCGGTACTTTAGTTCTCTTGAGGACATATTTGGGCACCTCTCAACGACCTTTTCGGGGCATTTAATCAGAGAGAGGTGAATCTGTCTCACCTTCAACTTCCATGCTCCAGATAAAACTGTCCTGCAATAAATAATTAAGCCATTGGAAACGATTGCATCAAAAGTAATGATTGTTTTTTGACGCATGGACTTTAAATCTTTAGGGAACTGCTGTGCTTTAAAAACTGTAATAATAAGGAAAGCAATGAAAAGACCATATGTAATAAAAAGGTGAAATTGTTTTTTCCCTAAAGTCCCAATATTTAAAGGAAACCTGGCTAAGACAGTTGCTCACCCACAGGCCAGCTGAGTGCAAACTTGTTTCCATGGTAGCCTGTGTACTCTCTTAGGGTCTGAGAAAGTGACAGTGTAGGTAGTTACTGGAGGTGTGCGCACACACACACGCGCACACACACACACACATATCCAAGGTCAGCAGGTGGTATTTCCTTAATGAAGTAAATGCTGTGACTCCAGCAGTTCATATCTATTAATCATTAGTGTCAGGTTTTTCCCACTTAAAATGATTTAAAAATTATTTAGTGAATTCATCTTCTCGCAGTTTCTTGAGAGTAAGCAGAGATCATTGTTCTTCCGATATGCCAGAGATACCAGGGGACTTTAGGGCAGCCACAACATGGTGTAGAACTGAGCGAGGTTTAGGAGAGAGTCAAGTTCGTGAAAATGTAAATCCCTTTCCTTGTAGCTGTGCCTTGTCCAAAAAGAGCTAGGGTAACTATAGCCTTGTACGTAGCTAATCTCTTGGGTTTTCTCTGGCCCTGAAAACATGAAGATATGTAATAGTTGGAATACATGTAAATACAGAATAGTTTTAAATGGTATGACCAAGACCACCTTTAGGCACAGTGTTTGTTTGAATGTATATAGTTAGAAAGTATGCACACATTATACACTGAGTGGCCAGATTATTGTGATCTCTGAATGCATATTAATCTGGCCACTCAGTGTATATCCTAAACAATAAAAGGCTAATATCCAAATTGTCCCCTCGACCAGGAGTTCCACCAGCAGGCAGGCTGGCCAATCACCCATATGCTCTCCCCCTGGCCAGGCTGGCCGGACCCCACCCATGCAGAAATTCATGCACCGGGCCTCTAGATCATAATCATCTGAGCACTCAGTGTATATGTTGTTGTTAATCCTCACAGGAGGATATTTTTTCCATTGATTTTTAGAGAGAGTGGAAGGGAGGAGGAGGAGGAAGAGAGAGAGAAAGAGAAAAGTTCATGTGAAAGAGACACATCGATTGACTGCCTCTTGCACATGCCGCACTGGTGCCAAGGACCGAACCTAAAGCCGAGGTTTGTGCCCTTGGCCAGGGATTGAAGCTGGGGCCCTTCGGTGTTCCGGTAGATTCTCTACCCATGAGCAACACCGGCCAGGGCAGAGAGCATAGTTTTATATCAGATGTTTTGTAAACAGTGATTCAGTGTATCATAGAATCTTGATTCTCTACTCATCAATCAGAGACTCCCATTTTAATATTAGAACAGGCATAGTCTAATAGAAATAAGAGGCAGAAACATCAAGTTCTGGATAAGGTGTGTGGCTCTGAATTTTCAGCCCCTTGGTTACTGTGTCTCTCTCAGAGTTCACTGTTTGCTTTATTTATTTGTCTCCCATACCCATAGCTCTTGGTGACACCTTTCACTTCCTACCACAGCCACTTCTTTCCTGCTCATTTTTCTTCTTTCTGTATCTCATTTATTCTTCCATCCTTCTTCTTCCATCTCCTCCCCCCCTCCCCCCTTATTCTCTGTCTTTAGTAAAAACCTTTAAGCTCTCTTATGAGAGTGGTTTTCCCTGGTACTGACTGCCCTGACACTCAGACATTGATTCTTCATTCCTGGTCTAAAGCCTTCAGGGAAACTGGTCGACTTCTCCTCCTGAGGACGTCTGGGGCAGACTCAG